CCACAACACATAATTGCGAATAACATGCCTTACCTTAACACAGAATCGACCAGAGTCCAACGTTTATATTTTTTCTACAAATCTTTAAGTTAACATGCACTAAACATGAGGGGAATTTGCACCGCAGCGCCCCCACACCCTGATGCTCATGACAAGAATAGCATAGTTATCTTTATTTAAGTGAATTAGGTTTAAACCGCCGTCATACATGAATGAATGAATATTTTTGCAAGTTTACACATAATAATCCACGATGATCACATTTCACAAAACTGAAATTGCACGTCAAAATAAAACATTGTCAATATTTTTTGAGACCCCCCAAAATTTCACAAATCACGTTTTCAGGGGAGCCCATGTCTTATTAAGGGGAGCCAAGCTCCCCCTAGCTCCCCCGTAGTTTGCACCCTGGTTATGACCCTGACCCCAATTGTTCTGTAGCCTTGTCTCAAATGCTACCCTAAATCCTTTTGGTCTTTCTTTGAGTTCACGCTTTGGTGAGATAATGTTGTGTAGACTGTTGAGTAGTAGTGCTCACCAGTGCAGGCTCAGGAAAAAAGGTACATTGAGGTCACACCGTAACAACAAAGGGCATGCTTGTGCTTCTTAATCATAAAATGCCAAATTGTATATTTCACTGAAATTGCATGAAGGAAGGCCATTTGAGCATAAGTTCAACTCACGAGCGCCTACGTCAAGGCAGAAGCTTGTTGCATTGCATGCATTTCAAGACTTGTCGTCAATGTTAGAGTGCAGACTTGATGCATCAATTATGCAATCATTTTCCACAACTCTACAGTATGCAATTGTATCTCTTATATTATATTGACATACAATATATATACTATATTGATTCGTGATATGTCAACATGTTTTTTTTTTTGTCCACTGATTTGCACCAAATGGAAGCAAAAATATGTACAAGAGAGTGGTCTTCTGAGAAATTAGTAGCTGGAAGTTTCATCTGGGAATTTCACTGGCTATTGCTAATTGCAGCTCTCTTGCATTTTAAAGTGTGCATGACTTAATAAAGGCCAATTTAGTTTCAGAAAGTGTTCCAGAATGTGTCCCACAAGTTGGCACGTTTTAAGTTCACAAAGGTCAAGGGGAAAGATCAGCAAGCTTCTGTCTTGTAGCGTGAGCTAAGCTCAAGTACACTACTGAAACATCAACTGCTGAACCTTTTGTTATATTGTTTACATTAATAGGAATGACAATTTTGAGCCTAACATTTACTGATTACAATTTATTTTCAGATACCTCATCTTTGACGTGAACGCTTAAAGGTAGCATTATTTCTGTGAAAGCATCAAGATGTCGCTGTCGACCAACCAGTCGTTTCTATCCAAAATGTTTACCTGCGTGTCTTGCACAAATCAAAACTTCAGCTTCTAGGTTTGTCTGAATCTGCAGACTGTGCAGAATGACTCTTCCTTGCAATGAAAACACGTTTTATCAATACAGATGTAAAAAAAAAAATTAAAAAAAAGTGCAATGGAACTACCACATAATGTACTGGAAATATTGTATTCCGGCAAGGCTTTTGTAAATATTTGCACTTTTTTTAACCTTTAAATTTAAAAGTCAAAATGCATTATACCAACAATATGGCCTACCTTCAAAACATCTTAAAGGGATACTCCACCCCAAAGTGAAAATTTTGTCATTAATCACTTACCCCCATGTCGTTCCAAACCCGTAAAAGCTTCGTTCGTCTTCAGAACACAATTTAAGATATTTTGGATGAAATCCGGGAGGCTTGCGACTGTCACATTCACTGTCAAGGTCCAGAAAAGTATGAAAGACATCGTCAGAATAGTCTATCTGCCATCAGTGGTTCAACCGTAATGTTATGAAGCGACGAGAATACTTTTTGTACGCAAAGAAAACAAAAATAATGAGTTTATTCAACAATTTGTCTCCTCTGTGTCTCTCCGCATCACCGTAGCGCCATTTTGGAGTATATGTGCTGAACGCAAGCAGCGTACGCTCTTCTGTGTCAGCCGCGACTCGATACGTTTTCTAGGTGTATTTACGCTTTGATTTGAACGAAAACAGCGCATCCGTGCAGCGCAGCTGACACAGAAGAGCGTACGCTGCTTGCGTTTAGCGCATATTCTCAAAAATGGCGCTACGGTGATAAATTGTTGAATAGTCGTTATTTTTTTCGTCGCATACAAAAAGTATTATCGTCGCTTCATAACGTTACGGTTGAACCACTGATGGCAGATGCACTATTCTGACGATGTCTTCCATACTTTTCTGGACCTTGACAGTGTAATTTACTTGGCAGTGAATGTGACTGTCACAAGCCTCCGTTTTCATCCAAAATATCTTTGTGTTCCAAAAACGAACGACGCTTTTACGGGTTTGGAATGACATGGGGGTAAAGTGATTAATGACAACATTTTCATTTTGGGATGGAGTAACCCTTTACACACTAGCCTGTCGTATTCTAATACTTGAATTGTCCGCTCTTCTAAAAGTGGTCCTTTGCACATGCCTAGCATCAAATGAGCTGCTATTTAACGAGCAAGTATTTTTGTACAAGAAAAACATCTGTACTCGTGACTTTTTCAAACCATAAAATTATTTTTGGAAAATGTTCTGAATGAGCTCCATCTTTGGTTTTGAGGTGCCCCCTAGAGGAAGACACATACTGCATGCAATTTTAAAATGGTGGACTGAAATCTGATTATGCAATTACTCAAAAAACAGCATGCTAAACAGAAAACAAGGCAAGAATCACAATGCATATGCTTCTAGGTCTTTATTTCTTTAAAAAACGTCAATTAGTTATTCAGATTAAAGAAATCGGTGACAAATAGGATGAAGATACATAGAAGAGGTTGGGAGTCATTTAAGGGTCTTTACAGGGTGATCTGCAATTTGTTTTCAGCACTGTACAGTTTCATAGGCAGGGAACAGAACACTGATGGATGTTATGGGAGAAGGACTTAACCCTTTGGCAATAACATCACGATGAGATTTTTTTCCATTTTTTTCCCCTTTGTGGACACTGATCATGACAGGGCATGAAGGCATCAATACCATATAGAAAAGGGTATCTTAAAAGCAAACAAGGCAGCCTGATCTAATTCAATGGAATGTCAATTCATAAAGGAATCACTATAACAATAATTTAAGATGTCCAAACTGTGTCAACACTTAAAAGTTCCTTGAGTGAGTAAATAATTACAAAGGTTGACCACAACATTTGTGCTATTTTAAGTGTAAACCTTAATATTAGAAAAATCTGTTAAAACTATTCATTTGTTATAAAGCCCTTAAATGACATCTAAATGTTATGGTTTGAAAAACAGGAGGTAGAATCAAAAAAAAAAAAAAAAAGCCAAAATAATTTTTTTTAGAAAGACAAGCACTTCTGTAACAAAACATTCTGCTGACATGGTGTTTTAGTCTCCCTCCTCTTCCTCGGATTCGGACTCTGAAAGAAACAACAAATAATATCATTAGATGAACTATTTTAATCTGAAAGTTACAGAGAAAAACAAAAAAACCTGCTTACCCTCTTCGGCATTCTTCAGCCATTCTACAAACTTCTTCATCTGCTCAAGGAAGACGCTCTTTCCTTTGGCCACGTGGGATTCTGTGTACCACTTCAAAATAACCTCCTCGCTCAAAACATCAGCTAGAGGCAAGAAAAAAACCTCTTCAAAACACTTTAACCAGCCATAACCTATGCACAGCGCTGCACAGGCTAGGTAACATTTTTTGTACAAAACATAACACAGTGTGCCAAGCCTTGGGCTTAAGTGCATAGTTTTGAAAAGATTAGCTATTGAAGACGCACCTTTGTAAAGAAGCACCACGATCTTCTGGAAGGCCTTCATGAAGTGGATATTGTCGTAGCAGTACTCCTGGATCTTCAGCAGGAGGGTGAGCTCAGAAAGGCCCTGGGAGGTGAAGGCCTTCAGCAGTGGGCCGTATTGCTGCAAAGAGTTAGCAGAACAGATTACTACCGGTAATTTGATTAAAGGAAGTATTGCAGATCATTAAATCTTCCAGAAGCATCATAGATACCTTCAAGAGTTTGATGGCTTGCTCCGTGACGAGCTCCTCCTTTTTATTCCACTCGACGGAGCTCATGACACTGGTCCACACGATGCCGATCATTGTCTGCTCAGAGATGCTCGTTTTCTTCATCTCTTCACGAACGTAGGCAATGATCTAGGGAGCAAGCAAGACAAAAATTAACCAAATACAGGCACAGTAAACCTTCAAAGCCAAACTATGGATAATGATTCGAAATATTTTTAAATAAATATTTGAAAATGTACTTAAACTATATAATTTTTAAAAAGTGCTTAAAAAAAAAAAACCCCCCCCCAAAAAAATTTAAATGTCCCAAGACAGACAAGGCAGAGACTCACGTCTTTGAGGGTCTCGCCGCGCAACATCTGCTCTTGCAGTTCTTTCTGAAGCTCTTTGCGTGCTCCAATGGACTGCTGGTTGCGAGCGAAGTCCGAGAGCTCCTTCAGCCCAGCGTCGGTGAAATATTTTGAAAAGTGTTCACAGCTACGCTTGTTGGCAGGGAACAGCTCCTGATTGCGCAGAAGAGGTTACATCAACATCAGAAAGAAAAAAAAAAATAATTTTTTGCATGAGATTGTGGCATAAGAAAAGTTCAACATCTTTTGAGGCTGCAAACAAAATTGTACAATTTCAGATTTTGTTAATTTTGGTTTACTCAAGTAATGTGTGCTTTTGTCAATTGATGTGAAGTTGTTGTATTCTCATATGGCTTTTATTTTATTTTTAAATTTCAGGTTTAGTTTTAGTAATTTTAGTATTTCAACTTAATTTTAGTTTATTTTTATTAATTTTTATGAATTATTGCCAAATAATA